AAATTGACCTTTGACCTACTTTTCACCATGAACTGAACTTTGCAAATTTTGCTTCCGTTTTATCTCCAAAACTGGCAGAGATAGGTCCATAGTTACTATTGAACTTGAATAGGAAGTCCTATACTGGCAATCTAAGTGTGACCTTGAAATTGACCTTTGACCTACTTTTTATCATGAACTGAACTTTCTTTCTCTTTTAACTCCAAAACTGACAGAGATAGGTCCATAGTTACTCTTGAACTTGAATATGAAGTCATATACTGGCAATTTACTGTGACCTTGAAATTGACCCTTGACCTACCTTACGAAGAACTTAAATTTGATTGTACCATATATATTTTTTGCAATAATTTAAAAATTCTTGTTGATTGCATTTTTACAGCTTGTCAAGCACAAAACTGTGGCTGTGTCCCTTATTTTGTGTCCCTTATTTTGTGTATGTGGGGGTCTATACGAATGCGCTTGCTCCAGCTGGTGGTACAATATTCGGAGGCGGTATCGCCTCTCTGATCCTCTAGTTTAATGTTGTAGATGAACATATGCCTAATTGTATGTTGCCTGTTGGGAAAGACATACAGGTGGGGTGTTTAAAATGAGGATTTATTTGAAACATAACCATTCTGTTATGAAGTCATTTTGAATCTTTTTAGGCATGAAACAAAGAAACATCAGCACAGCAGAGACATCTATAGGGAGATTAGTAAGTTGAACTCACTCAATTATTATGTAAAAAATAATAACAAATGCATACATACATGCTTATGTTAATTTGTCAGTTTGATAGAAGTGTCAAATACAAAAACAAATTAAATAATAGATAAGACAGGTTATTAACTAAAAGCTAAGATCTCTTGGACTTTTATATACAACATTAGGAAAAATATACTCAAACTTAACAGTGAATATTTTGAGTCTTCATTCCATATTGCTTTTAAAATAACCATTTATTTTTAACTTTAAGATTAAAGTATTTCAGTTATGTATGTAAACTAAATATACATAAGCATTTTAGTATATATTCATATGCCTGTTAGTATCCTAAAATATTTGTGCCATAGACATAGAATTCCAATCCTTTGAGTAGATGATTGAATTTTAGACTAATGCATACATACATTTGTCTCCAGACTACAGCTGATACAGCTCGTGTTCCCAGTCCCCTGGGAGAGGCTCAAGAAGACAAGAAGGGGAAAGGGAAGAAAGCAGCCAAGGAGGCAGCTGCACAAGGTAATGCATTCAGGAGGAGTATCAGAGGGCGGTGTGGAAACTGGATTTTTTATGACGTTAGAGAAGAAAAAACAAGAATTATTATACAAGGAATTGTATGACAGAAAGAAAAATCATGGCAGTTTTATTATGTACATTATATACATAAGACCTGCTATAAAATCATACGGATTTATCATCTTCTCTGAAGTTATTGTCAGTTGATCTTGGGAACAAAGTTACAATTATTTAATGAAATGCATAAATGTCACTGTCTCAAGCAGTTTTGGCAATCTGGCATAAACTTTGCAGATAAAGAAAAAGACAAAGCACCTGCACGACCCGCGGAAGCTGAGGCACCACAAGAAACTGAGGCACCCAAGGAAAAGGTGACTTTGAAAGAACCTGGATTGGAGTCAGAAAGTGAGTGGTTCCACATTAAGATTTCTGTGAAATTTGTGAAATTCTGTAATGTTGAAAATTTTAACAGCACAGTCGCTCTCTTTCCGTAAACTCGCAGTCCTTTTTCAAGCCTGTTTTTTCTCCCACCTCCTCTTGGTTTTTTTTTTTAATTTCATTACATTTATTTATTTATTTATAAATTTACATATTTATTTTTTATTTATTTTATTTATTTATTTTTTTACCTCTAACTCATTAATTGATGAAGCATTATTTTTTTTAATTAGTGCCTGTGTCCCCCGTTAGCAATTTTTCGTTACTTTACTTGCCTGGCTGGTGATTGATATAACAGGATTCCAGGTTGATATTTTTCCTCACATATCACAAAGATTTGATCCCATCCTTCCAGTCACCAGTACAGTGGGGTTCCCCCTGAGCACAGAGGCTGAGGAGCTGGACTCCTTTGACGGGATGAAGGTGGGTCAGTTGATCGGGGGAGAGATCGGGCCGTTTACCTCCCTCAAACTGGAGATCTTATGGAACCCGACCTACCCTGGTGCCGTTGACTCTGACTTCCTGGTGACCTTCACTGATGAACTCTCTGCAGAGGTCAGTACAGCGCCCTCTATCAACAGACACACACTATCTGTTAATTCCACAGTAAATTGGATTGTTTTTTAGATCTGATGACAGCCAGCTTTTTCATATTATTACTTCTCCTTGCTGACTTTGCTTTCTTCTAATGTGATATGGACATTTGAAAATTAGTTAAAAGAAGCTGGCATTCCTGGGTACTACAGACACACATTTGATTTCTGGCGTTAATGAAAAAGTATTTCATAAAACTGTTCTTGAATCACAATTGTAGGTATTTACTGTCACAGTTTTTATACGGGCTCTTAGAGGCACATTTTATAGAGAAAAGAAGATGAGTGCCTTGTTCTCCTTCCAGATCAGTGTGAAGGCCCTGGGTAATGCCATAGATGTCCCAGTGTGGGTGCAGAGACAGTCTGTAGACCTGAAGATTTGTATGTATGACAGGCTGTACCAGGACACCATCATAGCTAACAACAGGTAGGTATAATATACCATCATGATTTTGGATATATGAGGGACAAATATTACCTCCTGCTTGGCAGGGGTAGACTGAGACTGATACAAGGTGTATCTGTTACATGGATAGCATCATTGGTTCATTGGGTCAAAGGTTCATTGGCCTGAAAAATCGTAAATGTATGCATGCACAAACACACACACACACACACACACACCATTGTTCAAGTATGTGATATATATATCATAATACAAATAGCATGATGACAGCTTCTTGTGATATGTTCTGTCCTTCATCCTGCACCCTCAAATAAATGGATATTTTAGATAGACAGACAGACAGACATTAATGCATTATTAAGTGTCACGTCGATGTAATAATTGTAAAATATTATAACCCAGGGCAACCACTGCACTGAGATTGAACTTTGATGTGCCAAAGGAGCTGAAGAACCACCTGGAGCTATTACCCAAGACAGGCTACATCCAAGCCCAGTCACAGTTTCAGGCCCAGCTCAAATTCCTGCCAAGGTTGGTTATATATGGGACATGTAATCCATGTATGGGACAGTCTTATCGCTGTAGATGAAGCAAATGAAAAAATAATAATAACCTAAGGTTTAAGATGCTGAAAGTAAGAATTTAAAAACAACCCTGTCTGTGAATTTTAAACCATTAGATACACAATTTTTAAAAATAATATTATTACTGAACTTTGCTGTGAAATTATATTATATTTATTTATTAATTGATTCAGTCATTGAAATAGCTTACAGCTAGCAGTTTAAGATTTGAGCTAATATTAATTTTTTGCAAATCCCCCCTGTAGATCAACCCTATTTGAAGATGCTGGCAAGTATTTTGACAAGGAGACAGGGGTACTGGAGGCTCCTATGACCATCAGGGTGGCTGACCAGGTAAACAGTTGTGTTTGTTGAGATTGTTGATTATGTTGGTTGAGACAGATTGCATCAGTTGAGACAGTTTATTGTTTTGGGTGAGATGGATGATTGTGTTTGGTTTGAAACCTAATTTAGGTACAGTTTGTGCTGGATGTAACAGCTTTTTTCTCCTTGTTTATCTTCTTTTTTTTTTTT